TGTAAATTCCGAGAATTTTCCAGGTATCGCTCTTCATCCTCAGAGAGGTGCCATGGTGTGGATCGAGTCATACGCCAACCATAACCGGATCATGAGTGCCAACATGGATGGCACAAATGTAATTCGCACCCTCAGGCGTCCTTTCAGTTCCCCTTGATTTTTGTTGAACTAATGTTCCTTATTTAGGTTCGGGTGCTCGTCGAGAATAAGCTTGAATATCCCACGGGGATATCGATTGATTTGATCACCAGCAACGTTTATTTCGGTGATGTGGAACGGGAGATGATTGAACGCGTAAATATGGACACCCGTGAGAGGTCCCTTTTCCCAACGAGTTTTCCTGTCGTGGCTTTTATGTGTGTCGGAATTCCAGGACAGTGGTGCTAACCAAAGGCGTGCATCATCCTTTTGATCTCAAATATTTCAACGGGTTTTTGTACTGGAGTGACTGGTAAGCAGTTTGCTAGAGCGCTTTTATCGCCTTTTTTACCGAATGGTTCAGGGCTTCTTCTTCGTTGAAAGTCGCTGAAATGAGCACTCATCACAGTTCTGCTCACCTCATTCACTCGTTCACCGCCTTACCTTTCGGACTCGCTATCAATCATTCAATGTATCAGGTACGTCAACAATCGTTCTGCTCATTACCACAGCAATGCTAGCTCAATGGAAGAATTATAAGCTATCCGGACAACAACTTGGTGCAGGTATGCAGGCCCCTGTGTCTATCGGCCCTTGGCAAAAGACCTCGTGAATGTGATAAGAGGTGACGGAAGGACTGGACGCCAACTGGGTTAGCAAGTGTGCGTCTAGCGGTACAAAACAGCCTCTGGCGTTATCGCAATGTAAAGGGGCATTTCGTGAACGCCTCTCAAGGTGTGCATGTTTGAACGTACTGTAGTGGTTTAGAGTCCAGAAAGACGAGCGCATGCCTTGCGATATATTAAGGCTGAGGTTATCAGAGGAAGAAAAGAGAACAGAGATCTTAAGGAGCTATCGCTAAGTAAGGGGGCATTGTGGTGGCAAGCTTTTCAAACCGCGTCAAACATCCCCTTTCTGTCAAAAATGGGAGCTTAGCCATAGGTGGCGTAGAAGAGGCTCCAGATTACGTCAGCAATTTTTTTATGGTGGTGTTCCTGCTCCTCCAGGGCTAAGTTCTA